AAGCTCATAAAGGATTTTTGGTCCTCCACCAGAACCAGGGCCAATCCAAAATGATCCAAAATGTAAAGTTGGCCAGCATCGGAGCCCCAAGAGCGGGGCTCCATGCTGATGCAAACATGGGTCAGTCTTCCTGGTCGAATGGCTTTTGTAGATTCTAGTTGATAGAGGTCAGGGCTAGCAAACTGTTTGTGGATCATGATGAGAAGTCCTGCAGTCTTTAAATGGCCACTACCTAGGACCTAGTAGATGCAAACAACACCACTTATGTAACATCACCAAGAAGAACCGACGGTTGGACATTTTTTAGCTGGGGCCCCAAAGTAGATTTCCAGAGAAAAGTGACCAAACAAAGAGATTCGAGAGACAAGTTGCCAAAAGTATCCATTTAAAAGTAGATATGTCCAGAGACGTCTAGAGAACAGTTGCCAAATCTAGTGCCAAATGTACCATTTTACATTACTGGCTAGTACTAGGGGCCTTTTGTCCCGGTGTGTTCTCAAAAAGTTCCCAAAGCAATCGTAGTTTCCCAAAGAAGAGTAAGCAAGAGTCGGAATTTCCGGAGAAGAGCAGCCACAAGATGCCACAACTAGATATTTCTCAGTATGGAACAGTTCAGGTTGCTGGGACGTTCTTGGATATATCCGATATCCTTGGTTAGAACTCGTTCTTTTGCACTTTGCCAGCAGCCCAGTTTCTCATGAGACTTGCATTTCGGATGGTGCTGCAATCTCTTTGGATGTGCAGGTTTGGTCACATGAGATGAAAAAAACATTGTGTTTCATGAATTCGCAGCGCAGGTGGGTAACTGTCAGCGTTTGCAGCCCTTGGTCCTGGACACTATGCAGCTACGGCTTCTTGCCACCACTGGGCTTTGTTGGACCAGCGGAACGGCGGAACGGCGCGGAACGTAAGTCTTGTGATTTGGGTGAAAACCGACGTCCTTCGGTTCAAGCTTTTCTTGTGGTTCGAACAATCAAATGAGAGAGAGAGAGAGATAAAGAAACAGATTGTGGTGAATCATGAAAGTGGTTATGGCATGTAGCGGTTGGGACTTGAAAGATCTAAGAACAACATCCTGGAATCGTGGAGCATTTTTTTTGAAGCCACACTTGAGCCAACGTGTTTGGCTGGATGTGTGTTTAGGTGAGCTCCCTTGCGCTTCAGGAAGAGCCCTTCCAGTTCTGATCTCAATCCACCATGGGTTGTCTTTTTTCAGAGAAGCCCAGGGCTGGACGCCCGTGAAGCAGGTGGCAGGTGAGCAGGAATGTTCAGTTATAATATAACTGCATATATAATATTCTATATTACATTTTATTCATTGAATTGGTAATATCTAATGTTTACCTTTGGAATTCTGGGGCTACAGATGTTCTGTTCTTTCACTCACCGCACTGCCATAAACTAAGTAGGCGCTGAGGCTTTCCGGTCGGAGTGCAACCGATGCAAGCCCTTTTGCTTATTTTGTGTCTTTAAGAGAGGGTGTGTATGCAAGAAATCGATTGTGTTGAACTAGCACCAAGGCCTTGTTCTATTTACCCTGACATCAGAGGCATGAGGCTTGGGTGATCTTTGGATTTCTTGATGTGTGATGGTTGTTCTTGTTTTGCACGTGACATGTATACAGGATTCCTTCACCGCGCTTGTTCAGCATGTTAATCTAGTGAGCTGTTTTTTTGGCTTGGAATCTCAGTGATATACAGTAGCAAGGGATCCGGATCCCCAAAGCCAATGGACTGGGTGCTATACAGATGATGACTACACATGACTATATACAGCGTATGATTAATATACTATACTAAACACATAATGAACATTCTATACAATACAATACTATACTATACTGCATACTATACTGCAGACATGATGAATATATGCACAGCTGGTTTTTCGCAGGATCTCTTGTCCAACACGTCGTAATACGCCGTGGCATTGGCGCTTTGCCCCCGCGCGGCGCTTCGCGTTTCTGGCTGTCGACCTGGGTCGGAACTTCATTTCAGGCTCGCGGAGGAGAAGTCCTGCATTGAAAATGGAAGCGGAACCAGCTGCCGTGGGAGCTGCTCAAGGAGACAAAGAGGTGCAGAAGTTTTTCTTTAGGCATGAAGATTTAAGACGTATTCTTCTCCAAGCGGCTGATCAACACAATGTTGCAATGGCATGGGATGCTAGAAGTGCAGAGAAAGAAAAGAAGCAGCTCACAGAAAAGTTCACTGCTCAATTGAAGGAGAAGGAAGCTGAAGTGAAAAGGCTCAAAGAGAGAGTAGAAGAGCTGGAGAAGAAGCTTCCCGTTGATCCTGCACGCGCAGAGGAGGATTTCAAGCGTCTCAGAAAAGACTTGCAAGAAGCCCTTACGGCAAGAATGGTTGCGGAATCGACCTTACACACGACCCATCGACAAGCGGAAGAGCTGTATCACAGGCTCATTGCGGCTGAGAATGCTACTGCAAGTGTGCAGCAAGAAAACGCACTGCTACAGGAAAAGCTTGCTCATCTCCAAGAAGAAAACACCACAATGAGAATTGAAGCAGGATGTTCGGCTCGAGCAGCAGAGTTGACCGCTGCACGTGCGCATGAAAAGCAACACCTCAGAGGAGAGCTTGCTGCTCGTTTAGCAGAACATGCAGCCCAAAGGGTCGCAGAAGGGATTGTGCCAGGGACAAGTTGCCAAAGGCATGGGCTGAAAGACTTGTTGAGATCAGCAGAGGCGGTTGCAGATGCAGCTGCTTCACCGTCACGACTAGAGAATGATGGTGTTGTTTCTTTCCGGGATCGATTGCATTCCAGGCGGACAGTTGTCCCAGCGGCTAATGCCTTGCTCCTGCCCACACCAAGGGCACCAAGGGATGCACCAAGAACATGCCACTGTGTCCATAAAGTCATTGATTTAGCATGAGTAGCGCGGCCTCGCGCATGTGAATGTTTGGCACGCAGCTTAGACTTTGCAAGAGGCAACATTTTCATTGCCAAAGTAACCTCTTCCCGGAGAAAGAACACATGAACAGTTCACCGCCAAACGAGGGGTTCTCAAGTGTGTTTGGAGGTGGGTGGGGGTTGTCCATTCATTGAATTCATGTTTCCATGCCAAATGGTATGGGTTCTTGATTCGTTGAGTCTCATGTGTATTTTGTGGATTTTTTTCCGGTTTCCTCTTGGCGATTTCCAGCGCGACCGTGCTCACGTTATTGCAGTACCTTGATCAGAAACACATGTTGTTAAAAGCTGGTTTCTGGTTGGCACGGTCGCATAGGAAATGGCGCCGCTCACCAATTGCCACGGTTCCTCACCATCAAGAAATTGACGCTAGTGTCACCAAGTGACCTAAGCAGAGTGTCTCACTGTGGTAAGTTGACCCATGTTCGTCGGAAAAGCGCCCAGTGGGAGAGAGAGAGAGAGAGATTGAGAGTTTTGCATTGAGGCATTGCGATGGCTTTAGACATGGTTGAAAGGGTTGAGATGGGGTGAGGCTTGTTGTGATACTTTTTTACACCGGCGGACAGTACGGATGGACCAAAATGCCAACGCTTCACGGTTTTTGGATTCTGCCAGCCCGTTCTTGAGTGGGAGTCCACTGGCAACTTTTGCAACCATGATCCTTTTCTTCGGCCAAGGCAACGAATCATTATCCTCCATGGTGAATTGGAAAGGCCGCCAGGGCCCATCGCCACCCAGCGCAGTTGGTCATAAGTCATCTCTATTCACGGACGCCTGGCAGGTTCTCCAGCGGTGCTTGGCAGGTTCTCCTACCCAACGAGCTCCAAGGCGGGGGGCGGGGGGTCGTCGTGCCAATGGGTTGACCAATTTCACTCCCACTCCACAGGTGGTTGCCATGTGCTTTGGCTTGCTTGAGGTGTGAGTGCCTAGACTTCAGGATGGGTACAGCAGGGCAGTGGGAGATTAAGACATACCGCTCGTGATCTAACATCAGAAACTTCGCACATCACAACTCCCAAGACTCAGGACCAGCAAAGTTTTTTTTGGAACTGAGATTTGTTCATAACTCATAACAATATCATGCAGTATCAGTCATTTCTTTCCGTTTTGCAATTTCATGGGACGATTCACAAGTCCATAGTCAGCATCAGGGTCACTTAACTTTGTGTTTGCGTCACCTGATTTGGTCACTATTTAGGTTTTTTCAGTGCGATTGCCGCAGTCACCACCTGTCCAGCTGTGTCCGAGTCTACATGAGTCTACGTCAACCAAAGTCCCTTTGAGTCCTTTGGAGTTTTCGTCGTGGCTCGCTCGCCCCACGCAGACGATGCAGCCGAGACGTCTTAAGATGAAGACATCGAAGATGCAGAAGTATCAGGTTGAAACAACAGCACAGCCCTCAGTTGAGTCGCTTGAGACGAGCGGCACCAGGACGAAGGCAAAGGTGAAGTGATGTGAAGTGTGGCAGGGCACTTTCTGCGCCAGTGACACAGCAGTTAAAGCAAATTTTGGTCATGCCTCGAAGCCATGCGTGTTTGAGATGTAAGGCTCTACAAAAGAAATGTGTGCACGGATGATTGCTCTTCACACGCATTCCTTGCTTGGAAGCTTGTTTCACGTCTCAAGAATTCATAAAAAAGCTCCGCTTCATGATGCTTCATGGCATCGCTGCAACGGATGTGCTTCCTCAATGGACTCGCATCAGCGCTTGCCTTTTGGATTCTAGTCAATGATACCGGTCCCGAGCGCTCGGGACATGTAGCTGCATGGGATGCTACAGGTCAGCGATTCCTGATTCACGGCGGACGTGATGCCGCATTCAGTCCAGATCTGTGGGCGTACGATACCGCCAAGGGCGCCTGGGACTTGCAGCCACCAACGTCTCCCGCCCCTTCGAAACGTGGAGACCATGTGGCTGTTTGGGATCCCAGCAGCCGGGCGTGGTGGATTCACGGTGGTTTTGATGGCTTGACGTTATTCAACGACCTCTGGAGATATTGGGACCAGAGCTGGAGCCACTTTGCCGGTGGACCTGGAGACATTCCGAGGGCTAGGAGCAGTCATGTGGCTGTGTGGGATGCGGCCGGTTCTGCCATGTGGCTTCATGGAGGGTTGGGTAGCGATCTTCAGGATGACCTTTGGAAGTTTTCGTTCCGAAGCTCGTCAAGTTCTTGGGCTCAAATCCAGCCCATTGAGAACAGACCTTCAGCGAGAGCTCATCATGCAGCTGCGTGGGACGAGACCAATTCGGCCATTTGGGTTCATGGTGGATATGACAGTCATGGCTCTTTGCTTTGAAAAGATTACACTTTAGAACTAGACAAGGTGGTAGCTATTGCATGTTATTACCCCGTTGTTCATGTTTGTTCCATCATTCTCCAAAAGCATCAAGGTCATTGAAAACATGTCAGGACAAAGGCAGGGTGATCATAGCTTTCAACACACATTCCATATAGCAGAGTATTATGGTACATGAGGGCTACCTGCTTCTGGGGTGTCTCGAGCTTTCACTGCCGATTCATGCGTGTAAGACCGACCATCAGGATTCAGTGAGAGTAGCCGAGTAGCTGTATACCACGTCCAGTCCGTGTTTTTCTTACGAGAGACATGAGACACGTCCTGTCGCGCGCCCTTCGAGTGAAGTCGCATTGGTCTGACTGAAGCCTCTCAGGTTTGAGCAATGAGTTGTGGGCCTTTGACAGCCAGACCTCCAACTGGAGCTTGGTCTCACAAGCTGGTCCAGGACTGCGAGCGTATCACGTGGCAGCCTGGGACTCCAGCAATCAAGCAATTTGGCTTCATGGTGGCTTAGGTGGATCCACTGGGGTGGCGCAACGGGAACTTTGGAGGTTCAACATCCTGAGCCACAGTTGCCTGTCGCCAATCAGGTGATTTCTGGTGTTTTTCCCGGTGAAATCTGCTTCTGGATCCTTCTGAAAAATAGGTTATACATGTTGTCCAGGTTCCTGGGAGCAAATCCAAGGTTGGGACTTAATCGCAAACCAAGTTCAAGACGGGCCTGTCGCTCGCTATTACCATGCTGCTGCTTGGGATGTCACCAGTGCGTCACTTTGGATTCACGGTGGCTTTTCGGGCTATTCCGCGGGCAATTGTTTGCACGATACATGGAGATTCCTGGTCACAACTACCTCTACAACCAGGACAGCCTCCACCAGCAGCACTAGCTCTGCAACAACCTTGACCACAAGCTCTAGCTCAGCCACCACTACTAGCATCACCTCTACTCGCAGCACATCATCCAGCATTACGTATTCCACAACCACGGCCACAACTACCAGTAGCACTTTGACAAGCAGCATTTCGTCCAGCACAACTCTGTCCACAACTACTACATCCAGCATAAGCACCAGCTCCAGCACTGCCTCAACTACCAGCAGCACTTTGACAAGCAGCACTTCGTCCAGCACAACTCTGTCCGCAACTACTACATCCAGCTCAAGCACCAGCTCCAGCACCGCCTCAACTACCAGCAGCACTTCGACAAGCAGCATTTCGTCCAGCACAACCCTGTCCACAAGTACAACATCCAGCTCAAGCACCAGCTCTGGCACTGCCTCAACTACCAGCAGCACTTTTTCAACCAGCATTTCGTCCAGCACAACTCTGTCCACAACAAAAACATCCAGCTCAAGCACCAGCTCCAGCACTGCCACCACTACCCGCACCGCTTCGACAAGCAGCACTTCGTCCAGCACAACCCTGTCCACAACTACAACATCCAGCTCAGGTACCAGCTCAAATACCGCCACAAGCAGCGGGACTGCCTCTACCAGCAGCACCACGTCCAGCACCAGCTTTTCCACAACCACAACATTTAGTTCAACATCGAGCTCGGTGACTCGTTCTGCCTCGACAAGCAGTTCCTCCACCAGGACAAGAACCACCTCCATGTCTTCGACCCAAACCTTTACTACATCAACCAGTAGCACAGCAACCACTACAACAACTTGCATGGTGCAAAATTTGTCGGGCATAATCTGCATATTGGTTGGAGTTGCAATCGTTGCTTTTGCTGCGCTTGTTTTGGCGTGTTGGATGCGCAGGCGTCGAAGGAAAGTTGTTGCATGTCCAGCCATCAATACAGAACCGCTTGTGCCAGCTCCCTTTCCCTCTGATCCATGTGTGCCACATCCTTCCAATGCCCATCCAGAGCTTTCATCAACGCCAGACTTGTATCCACAAGACCTAGAAGTTCTCCAAGATGAACATGATGAACCGGCACTTACACTTCAGTTTGACCCATTTCAGCCTGAGTGCTTAGACTTTCCGCACGTCCAACCAATGCAAATGCCACTGCCCGCCCATGATTCGGTACGATTTCCATATGTCCCAAGCCATAGACGCCTTGGCAGAGAGGCACCTACACCTGAATGCCATCACATAGACATTGGCAGAGA